GGACTCGAGTCATGTGACTTGGACTTGAGTCAGACTCGAGTCATGAATTTGATGACTTCAGACTCGACTTGACAAAATATCAAAAGACTTGCAACTCGACTTGGACTTGAACATAAATGACTCGGACTTTCACTTGGACTTGCGCCTATTGACTTGTAAAGACTTGCTAATTTCTATAAAAAGCCCAAAGATAAAAAGTATGTTGACACAGAACGCTCTATCTCTGCGTGTGTGTGCGTGTGTGACAGAGAGCATGCACGCATACTTTCGACCACTAGCGCTTTGTGGCGCACTTCCGTGTTTTTGCACCAGCGGGAAATTTGAAGATGCCATTTTCATTCTGACTCAGAGAGTGAAATAAACACATCCGCGATCTGCTCCTTTTGTTTTTATCAGCGGATTTACAACATCTGTCAAAGGTAAGAGACTTTACTACTCGCAATGTGTTACTGTTGTGCAAAAGCATTGTTTTACTGTTGTGTATAAGTCAATGAACTTCAGTTTTTTTTAAACCAAATTTACCCTCTCGTGATTTATATCATATAATTATGAATGAACATGGCTGTAATTTATGTTTTTGCATTTGGTGGTTTGTGTCAATGCGCATATTATGTTTTATCTTTGTGTTTTGCACATCCTCTGACAGTATTTTCTAACTATTTAATTAGTAGTAACATTAATTACATGCCATAATAACTAGATATATAATTTATTTTTAAAGCTCTTAAAACTGTAAAAAAAAAAAAAAGAAAAGTTTTTTTGTTATTTTCTGGTGACATTTTGCAATAAGGTTTCTTTAGTTAATCTATGTACTAACATGAACTAATAATGAACTATACTTCTAAACCTATATTAATTATAGTTTAACATTTACTATTGCATTATTACAATTTAAAGTTATGCTTGTTAACATTAATGTTAATGCACTGTGAGTTAACAAGATTTAACCAATAATTTTATTTCCATTAATTAAAGCATAAAATAATGAATACTGTAATGAACTGCACTGCATTGTTTGTTCACATTAGTACATGCATAAACTTAACTAATTAATACAACCTTATTGTAAAGTGTTACATTTTTCATATTTTGGATTAATACTATTAATTTTATTTAGTATTTAAAACCTTAACGGTATTTTTATTATTGTTGATGTTATGCCTCTTAGCAATATTTTAGTCCTCTATATGGTTTTTAATTAAATTTTTTATTGCGAGATTGTAATGTAATGCATATATATTGTTGAATTTCTGTTTGTTTGTTTTTCTGTATTTCCCCCTCTATATTTAAGGATTATCTACTATTTTTAAAGTACTTAAAACCAACCATCTAATAAAAAATACAATTAACAATCACATTTTGTTTCATGAGTGTCTTTGTTCCTGTTTTGTAGGACTCTTATTTTAACAGATTTCATTTGGAAACACTTGACTGATCATTCAATTAAAGTTTTACCTTTTTATTCCATCACTCAATGAGATCATTTAATTGTGAGTTGAATTACTCCATTTGTAATTGTTTTTAAATAAACTAAAAACGAAGACTTGTTTTATTCAGTTTGTTGAATGTGAACTTCTCTACTTTACATATTAAAAGATATTTAAAACCACTATGAATGTATTTAAACTAATATTTAAATTTATATAACTGTTTCACTGTGGGTATTTCTATTTTAATTTATTTAGCACATTTATTGGCTATGCAAACATGAAAACAAGTTTTAGATACTTTGTGGCTCTTATAAATGGTTAAACATAACAATATCCCTGCAGAAAAATCCAGCGACAGCCAGCCTAGGCTGGTAAGCTGGTTTTAGCTGGTCGACCAGGCTGGTTTTAGAGGGGTTTTGGTCATTTCCAGGCTGGTTTCCAGCCATTTCCAGCCTGGTCTTAGCCTGGTCTTGACCAGCCTGGTTTAAGCTGGACATAGCTGGTTTTAGCTGGTCATCTCCCAGCCTGACCAGCTAAGACCAGGCTGGAAATGGCTGGAAACCAGCCTCGAAATGGCCAAAACCCCTCTAAAACCAGCCAACCAGCCTAGGCTGGTTTAAGCTGTTTTTTCAGTAGGGATTTTTGACAAAATGTTCTAAAATGATTGTTTACAAGTGCCTAAGTGGGATTCGAACCCCGTTCTTTATGAAAAGAAAGAAAAATCTGATTGGCTCTGACATTACTTTCACCAGTGGGCAGGTACTTCAATCTGATTTGCTGGTCTCTCACGCGCGTATTCAGTCTCTCTGCGTTTGCTTGAGTTTTGTCCACACTGGCGCTTCATAATTTTCCTGCTTTTGCTCTCCAGAGATCCTCCTGATAAATTGATTATTCCAGAATGTTGATATGGTTTATATATTGCTAAACTATTTAGTAACAATACACGAAAAACTATGAGGTTAAGGTAAATTCTATAATAAATACTAGTGTTTTTGAGAGTTAGGTATACTGCCTATGTTTAAGCCTAGTATTATTTACAAGCTGTTAATGAATGCTTCAGCATACTGTAGTATTAAGAATAGTGAACTAATAAAATGAAATACAGAGTGTAGTTTTACTACAGTAAAGTGTGGTGAATTGTAGTATAATATACCCAATACTGTAAAAAAAAAAACTACAGCACTGGGTCATTTGTTTATATTACACTTGTGTTACCATAGCAACTATAATATTACCCCAACAGATTAATTAAAGTACTTTACTATAGTACTGTACAAAACCCTGTCTATGCCAATAGATGTGTTCAGGGGCCCTGTGGAACAGCTTTTCCTCAAAATGAAGAGGATGACATGGAAAATGTCCTCCACAATCTCATCAATAATGTGGAAGACAGCAGAGACTAGTTCACTTTATTTTAGTTGCCATGATAAAATGGGATTGATAATGAGATTTATTTAAAGAGTGAATAGTACAGTAGGCTATAATACCTAATCAAGTTTTTCCTTATTTTTATCACAGTTACATTTCTGCTTGCGTTAGTTATATTTTTTGTTTAAATGTTTTTTTTATTTGATTAGTATAGTGAACCTTTTGGATGTTTAATAAATGTTTGTAAAACAAAATGCATTCTTTACATCCAACCTCTATTATCTGTGTCTTTAAGTGTTTGAAACTGGAAATATCTCATCATAAAACATACAGCCAAAATGTTATGGTTTATTAGATTAAAAATTTAATATGTAAGTCTATTTTAGTATTTTGGTTTTTGTTAATAAATAGTCAATATTAATTCAATAGTCAATATTAATTATTAATTCAATATAAATCATATCAAAAAGCACAAAAGGAAGAGGAAACACAAGACACAAATTCTATATATAATCTCTGAGAGCGCGCAGGAAAATGTGTGCATTAGCAGTGCATATTTGAGAGGGAGAAAATTTGCGCGTGAGCAGCGTATATTTGAGAGCTCGCAAGCAGTTTTGTCCACAGAGGAAATCGGTGCACGAGCATCACACAAGGTAGAGAGCAAAGTTCTTCATTGTTATGTGAAGAAAACAATGTTATTGTTTGTATGAAGTAGCCTACTTCATTTAGAATATGTGCTACCATTTTACATTGCTGCTAGACAGATTTGCATCTCCATCTCTTTAGCACACACGAGATTCAATTGACAAAATACCAATTTCACTCAATTTTACTTTGCAGCATACAGGAGTTGTTGGTCTACTGCTGCCTCATTGAGGTTGTTTATGTAGTTTTAGTTAATCACAAGTTGATCACTGAAGACATAACATAGCACAACTAAACTTAATGAACTAGACAGCAGTAGACCTGCAATTTCTGTGTGATGTGAGGCAAAATGGACTCTTTTTTTGGTGGAACTCATTCTTGTGCAATAGGCTGTGTAGACGAGACGCAGCACTGTTTAGCACTTTTTCAGAAAATTACATTTGTATCTTTATATATCTAAGCAATGTTCTTTCATTAAAAAAAGGTTTGTTTATTTAATACAGATCTTACAGCCATACATAATCTGTTTAAATTTTATTTTTCTGTTAAAAAAGACTCGAAAAGACTCGAAAATCAAACTATAGGACTTTGGACTTGACTTGAGACTTGTTGCCTTTGACTTGGGACTTGACTCGGGACTTGCCTGTCTTGACTCGGGACTTGACTCGGGACTTGAGGGCAATGAATTGAGACTTACTTGTGACTTGCCAAACAATGACTTGGTCCCACCTCTGGGCCAGAGTATTTTTTTTTTGTAGAAAATGCAAAAGACAGTAGCTATGGATCCATCCACCTATTTTTATGCACATTTTGTCGCATGACGGAAACAGCAAGATGCAAATCAATTTTGAAAATGTGCATACAAAATGTATGCGCATAACTGAGTAAGATAAACCTTTTATTCGATAAGTAAATATGCACATAAACTATGATGGAAATACTTTTACCAAACAAATTCCAGTATGCACATAAAAAAAAAACTTTGATATTGTTATAAGGTCATGTAATGATGTGTGTGAATGGATAAACCTGGCTGAGCACATTGTAAAACATCTGAAATGTTGTTTTGATCATTCTTAATTGCCTTTCAGAGTTAGTGTAATTACATAGTTAATTACCTTCAGAACTGTCGAGAGTGTCTGTGCATCGCATCTCACGCCTTTAAACACCACTACATGTGTATTGTTTGTCTGCATTGTCTTCTAAGTCAAGTTATTTATTAAATAAGGAAAAGATTGACGCAGCTTCTCCTACCTCAATAAATTCCATTTTTACTTTTGATATTTGGTGCCAGTTAATCAGAAAGGGACTATTTTGTTCTCTTTGATTTATTGGATCAAATTGCTGCTTTATTCGCATGTCTTCTATGCGATATTTTAGTTTTGCTTATAAATTTCATTCGCATCTTTTGATGGAAACATAGTTACTGTCAGTAAGATAAGGTCCAGTGTTAAAAAATATGATTTTTTTAATCATTCTTGATTGACTGAAGATTCTGCTGACAACTCATTTATTTTTTTTAAAGAAAATTTCATGCTTGGTTCTGTTGCATCATAGGTCATACAATTTGACATGCACAGAGGAAACGGCTAAGAGGGGCTTCCCAAAGACCTGCTGTACCCTTCAAGACATCCCCCTTATCAGGTGAAAACCACAAAATGACCAGATTTGGAGACTTTAGGTGGTACTGTTTTGCATCAACATCTAAAAAGGTTGTAATATCTGGATTTCTGCTCTTTTACCAGTAAATGTGGTTGCTATCCACCAGAGAGCTGTCTCTTCAGTTTGATAGGCAATGTTGGGGCCTTTATGGGTAAGAATCAGTTTCAGTATGACTGAAAATGACACGAGAACAAGTCAAGATTTTTACACTATTTTAAAGAAATCCTTAAAGAGCCCCTATTATGGGTTTTTGAAAATGAGCTTCCATGCAATGTGTAACACAGCTCTAAGTGAATGAAAACATCCAGCTGAGGTTTAAATCTAAATGTGCATCTTGTTTAAAACTAATGATTCTTTAGTAAAATAATTGACTCTGAGTCAAATAAAATAAGAGTCGGATCTTTTGTTTGATCGCATCGACATCGTTATGGTAAATCACCAAATATGTACTTCCAGTTTCGTTAAAATGTGCACACGCTTTCCCTCCACACACTAGAGGAGGCACGGGGATCACTGGACTGATCATAACGCTAAGAGGACGATCACTGACAGATGGAGATTCGGCTGCTGGAAATAATGGGTTAAAATTAATTTTCACAACAATACCACAGTATAGCCAACCAGTGGCTGTGCTTGTTCCTGTAATTTTTCAGATTTTTAATACAATAATCTACGCTGTAATGCAGGTAGTAATCAATTAGTAAAGTTTTAATCACCCCACGCGGCTTATAATCACATATTTGTTATAGATCAGTGCTTGCACTGTATTAAACTCTCAGGTTAAATCTGTATGGGGCTGTTCACAAATCGCGTCCAAAACCACTTTAAAAACATGACATGTGCTTCTTCCTTTACCGATTTTAAGTGCGTTTCTGAACTGGCGATCTTCTGCTGTTTGCCTTTGCTATGGCCACCATCAGCTGTTCCTACACACACGGGGCACGGTCAATTTTCAAAATAGTTCAACTTTTGCCATTGTGTGGATTAATACTGAATGTGTGTAGTTGTTATTACTTGGGATTAGGTTTCAGAGTAGAGCAATATGCTGGTCTTTAACTGCATTCATTTATTGCATTCCTGCATTGGGCTCACACATACTCTCTGGCTGCTATTTCAAAGCCATGGTGGGCTTTTCTCTCTGTCTTGTGCTGAACGCAGTCGACCAACTGCAACAGACTGGATCATTGGCCCAATCAGCGCAGATTAGCTTCACACTACGGAGGGGTTTGGGAACAAATAAGTCGCTGAATGATTCATATGGGAGTCGATAATTAGGTAAAAATAAATGCATATTATAAGACAATGAATGTGTTATTGACCTTGCATGCAGGTCAAACCAAAATATCCCCCTTTTTAATGCAAAATAGGGGCTCTTTAATGATAAACAGGAATGGAATAGTCTTAGAATTCATATATTTTACATACTATATGAATGGAAAATAGATATTTATTAAAATAAACACAAAATGCAAAACAGTTTAGGTGTTTTTTTAATCAGCTTGTAATAAATTTACTTTCATTTTAAAGAACATTTAATTTTATGTATGACATAAAATGAAATATATATATGTAAGAAACAACTTTTCACCTCAACAAGAAATCTTGTGACACGAGATCTCGTTACACCCCTTCTAAAAAACCTTTTTTTTAAACTATAGCAGACTTGATCATTTATATTTATGGTGATATATGTGTGTGTAGTGGTCATGGTGTGCATGCTGCGATACGCTCAAGTGATTGAACACAGTCATCACTGCTGGACCAACACAAGTGCTTTGGTGTCCGGCTGCATCAATGCCCTTGGGTTGGTCATGGTGGGCAACTTCCAAGTAAGTTGGCTCATAACTTAACCCTGTTTTATACCAATCTATATAGTCTTGCATTTCTCTCACTCTTTCTCTCCATGTTTTTTGCCTCAGGTGGATCATGCCAAGACGCTTCACTATGTTGGAGCAGGTGTAGCTTTCCCCGCAGGCTTGCTGTTTGTGTGTCTGCAGTGTGTTCTGACATACCGTATAGCAGAGACAGCACTGGACTACTGGATGGCTCATGTACGCGTGGCTCTCTCGGCTGGAGCTCTCGTATCACTTGTCCTCAGTATCCTTACTAAAAATACTAATCACTATTTACAGTTTAGCATATCAGTATATACAGTCATGATCTAATACATGAAAATCAAATTTGTTTGAATACACTTGAACATGATGTTATTGGCATAAAACGCAGTGTGGCTAATTGGTTTTTAACAGAAGATTATAAAAGATTAAGTTTGGCAGTTGGGTTTTCACATTGCTAACATTTCAGTATTGGCCGTACTTCATCAAATGTCAAAGTTTGGCAAGTGAAAATCCCAGTTTTGTTATTTATTTATTCATTCATTCATTTTATTTTTGGCTTAGTGTCTTTATAAATCAGGGGTTGCCACAGTGGAATGAACCGCCAACTTATTCAGCATATGTTTTACACAGCAGATGCCCTTCCAGCTGCAACCCGTCACTGGGATACAGTTATGTTGTTATAGCAAATATTTTTAAATATATTTTTTGGGGGGAACTAAACTAAACTATAAACATAAATTTAATTTACACAATGGCATGTAGTCTTCAACTAGAGTATTTTTTGGTGGGCAAATGCAATAATAAAAAAAGAACCGTTTGAAAATAATAGATAAAATTAAAATAAAATAGCCAAATTCATACAGTATATCTGAGTACGTTACAAAAATGTGGTACTAAAACATCATGTAGACTGTTAAAATGTCATTTTTTTTGTGGCCTTTAAACTAAAGTTGTTGTTTTTTAAAAAAAAAAATACTTTTCATGTTTTTAGCTTAAAAACAATTTCAGATAATAACAGATTTTTGGTGCATAGTTTTACAAATTTGGTATCTCACGATTCATTATTCACAATAACAGATTTATCAAAAAAAAAAAAAAATTATACAAAAGTTCAATAATTTGATTACTAATAGAAAAGCTCTAGTAGACTTTGACAGTTTACAAATTTCAGTTAAGTCCATTTATTGTTATGAAATCAAAATAGATCTGCTTTGTTAGCTTACATCAGGTATGTAACGATTCACTCATGATTTGATACGATTGATACTAATCTCACGATTCAGTCACAATTTTTTAGCAAAAAGTATTTTATACAAAATTTAGATGAAGAGCGCTTTTGTTTTTTTGTTTTAGATGCTGCACATTATTTGCAAAATAATATATTTTCTGCCATTTAAAAAAAGTCCCTTTAAGGCAAGTCATTTAACTTGGCGACCATCTTTGAAACACCTCTCGGCCAGTATGCTCGGACATTCCGTTTAAATAGGGAAACATCAAATTCTCCAAAATAACTTGCCCACTTTACGATTCTATTTCATATTACGAATAACCAATAAAAATAAACGACAAAGCTCGCGTCTGGTCTGATCCCCTCCCCCGGAGAATTGTCATTCTATAGCGATCACTGATTGGCTTCTGTAATGGAAGACGGGCTTATTTGCTATATAGTGTTCACTGATTGGCTCCTGTACTAGAAAGCGGGGCTTCATTCGCCATATTGACAGTTACACTTTTCCCCATTCAAAAGTATATGAGTGACATGTCTTGTGTATTTTATAGTTTTTGGCCATAATAAATTTGCTATTTTAAAAACAAACATAGGATTTAAAAACAATAATAAAAACTAAATAAGACAAGCTAAAACTGCAGGGATTTTATATTTTTAAAAAGAACTATCAGCATATGTATGTTTTCTGGCATAAGCTAAGGTCTTTGCACATTAACAATGTCCCCTGCTGATGAAAAAACTCTTTCACTGGGGACTGAGTGGAGAGGTAAGCCTTTCCTAAACCAGAGAGAGGTATGTACAGAGGTGGTCAATAGTCCCGCTGATCCAGTGGACTGGGCACTGGCAAAAATAAACTGATTATTAAATTACTAATTATATAGTAGGATAGAGACAGCAGTTGACTTATGTAGGTAAATAATTAATATTACTTGTATAATGCTTTGTAAACCTATCAGTGTGATATACGTAAGAAGAGATAACCTTGAACACTTTTAAATATTCAATAATAATAAGCAAATAATTAAAATATGCATAAATTAATTTGAAAATGCTGAAAAAGCTGGTTCTGTAACAGGACAACCTTCTCTTTCAGTCTGAAAAAAAAATCTTTACACTTTGACTATTGTAACACTCATGCACTGTGTGATCTCCGTAGCACATATAAAGCAAGCGGCGCAGTCCAGTCCATGTGGTTTGGCTTATAAATAGTTTTTTTTTTTTTTTGTATAGACATCTTTGACAGTAGTTTTTTTACTGTGCTGAGAGATTATGTGCATCATATTCGTTCTGTTAGTGGAAGTAAACGTCTTTTTGCAGTTTCTGGAGACAGTTTGAGTTTTGTCTAGCGCACTTTACTGCTGTCATTTTACTCTGCCGTCCCAGCTCTTGCTCACCGCTGGTGTGCAAGTAAACAGCGCTCCCTCTGATCAAAAAATGTATCACAATTTATTTTACATTTCTACCAGTTTGATTCATGACGTATTTTAATCGATTTTCAGCCGACTTACGGTGAATTGTTACATCCCTAGCTCACATTTCTGTTTTTGAGGTGAACAGTTAATCCAATTTACAAAAATTAATGTTTGTCTTGGTGAAAAATGTGAATGATATGGCATTTGTCTTGCTGTTCCTTCTCTGATGTCAGTTTAGTCAAAGTCAAAGCATCTTTGCTTTAAACCACTCCCATACAACAAATGCATTGCTTCGAGCACAAGATAGCATTGAGGAGTGCTAAAATAGAACTCCATTCTCCATTCTGTAATCCATTTTAGGAAAAACATCACAATATTAAAGACAGTAAGAACTTTAAGCTGTTAACCACTGAATTGAAAAGTCTTCCAGTATCATCTTTAAAATGTTTATTCATTCAAAAATGAAAATTCTGTTATAAATTACTCACCTTTTATCATTCCAATCCCTAAGATTTGTGGTCATATTCAGAACACAAATTAAGATACTTGATAAAATTCGAGAGCGCTCTCATCCTCCATAGACAGCAATTTTCTGAGACACTCAGAGTCCAGAAACATTAATAAAACATTCCATGTCACCTAATTTGATCGATTGTAATCATACAAAGCTCTTTTTTCTGCACCCAATAAGTAATGTAAGTACAACTTTGTTTGCATTTGTTTGATTTGTCTACGCTTTGTGTTTCATTTTATCTTCTGATCTACTTGTGGAAAACAGACTACTGCCTGCCATGGGATTGGACGGATCCTTAATCCACATTTCCTTCTTCCATATGGTAAAACTATTTAGATGGTGCTCTGTGGTGCAGCAGAAATATTAACAGTGTATTGAGTCATAGCTTGGCGCTGTGGACAGCCACCGATTTGCAGCGCTGGTGTGCGTACACTGATAGAAATCTTTGTTTAGAATTCTATAGTGCATGGCGCTGTGTGGTGTGGCACATCTGGTGTGCGACCCTCTTTACAGTCAGCAGCGCAAACTGCAAGCGTTGTATTGCTTGTAGTAATTGCACATCTTGATCTGAAGTAGAACATATAGGCATATAGCAAAGTTTTTACTTTTTGTTTTTTTTGCACACAAAAGTGTCCTTGGTGCTTTGTATGATAACAGTCCAACCACTGAAGTCACAGTGACTGTTCTGAGGATTTTTTTGGTTGCTTTTATGGAGCTTGGTCTCTTGACTATTGCTATATCAATGGTCTTAAAGGTTTAAGACACCCTGGAGTACTTTTTAAAAATTTAACAGAGCACCTGGCTAAAATTTTTGCAACTGTCAGCTTTAATTGTTGGTAAAACTGGATCGTTTGAAGCTTTTGTCGGCTAATTTCTTCCTCCGGGTTTAACATTTTTTTGGGGGTGGGATCAAAATCGGTGACGTAGCACAAATCTGCTTGTGGACTGATGACAAGTCAGTTTCTCATTATTCAAAACTGAGTTTTCTGATCCTATAAGAAGACACTGCTTCTAAATTATTTATAAGGGCATGTGCTTTCCGAAGCCTGTGAGACCGCTTGAAAATGACTGAGTGAGACCATGTCCGCGGACGACACGGGTCGATTGTTTCTGTGATCCAAAGGGTTTGTTACAATGTTTTTTCCTGCAACGCTATCAAGACCGATGCATCAAGGCTGTTGGTTTGCAGCAAGCATTTTTGTCGGGAGATGCTGCTGTGTTCACACATGTTTAACATCTTCCAGATTACTGGTATGGCTAATGATTGAAATAGATAGGGCAAAAGACCTGCTGCACTGCTGTCCACTGTGTCTGCATTCAGACCCAGGATTTAGAAGGAGAAAAGTCCTCCTCATTTGTAGTGTTAATATAAACACGATTATCTCTATAATGATGTAACAAATTGTGGTTATGTGTATATGAAATTACGAATAACAAATGTTGCAGGGCATTAAATTACTTTTATTGCTTTTTAACTTTGTAAATTATAAAATTGTTCCCCTTACTGTTCGTGTCCCATTTTGTGAGCCAACTGACAACAGTTGTTCGCTCCCGCCTTTTTCCCCCGCTCTGCTGGCCACGCCCACACCTCCCTCAGCTCACAGCGGTTCAAGCCCATCTCGGAGCATTTTTGAGAAATTTCTGAGTTAGACTCAAACCGAATGAGGAGGTTTCATAGCTATTTAAACTCAATTTCTGGAGGGCAGCAGCTCTGCACAGTTTAGCTCCAACCACCTCCAAATCACCCTTGTTTAAATGTCTCTAGTAGTCTTGAACATCTTAATTAATTGGATCAGCTGTGTTTGACTAGGGTTGGAGCAAAACTGTTCAGAGCTGCGGCTCTACAGGATTCGAGACCAGCAGTATGCTATATACAGTTGGAAGAGTTCCTGCAGAGTTTAGCTCCAACCCTGATCAAATACAACTAAACCAACTAAGTAGGATCTGAAGGGGCACTTGGTAATTATAGACAGGTGTGTTTGATCAAGGTTGCAGCTGAACTCTGCTAGAAGGTGGATCTCCAGGAACAGGAGCAGCCTAATCTAATCTATACTAATTTGTGCTCCAAAGATGAATAAAAGTCTTAGGGGATTGTAATGTTATGAGGGTGAGTAATTCATAAAATACTTTTCTTTTTGTGCGTGAGCTAATCCTGTAAGTCTAACCATTTTTTTAATGTCAACCTGTTTTTAATGTTGAAAGTTACTGTGGTCATATTCCTTAACTTCATTCTTCCTTTTCAAGGTGGTGTCTTCTTCGTGCATGAGAGTTTTGTTTTGCAGCATGCTGCAGCCATCTGTGAATGGGTCTTCACGGTTTTGGTCCTAGTGTATTACGGCACCTTTACTTATGAGTTTGGCACTGTCAACACTGACACCATGATGGCGGCCTTAATGAAACGCAGTCAACATCACCATCCAGGGTCATCGGTCATTATGGGGGGCATTAGTAAGGGTGTTGCAATGGGATGTGGCGCCCGTGGTCTAAAGTCACCCGGAGGCAGCAGCACTTCCACACACCTCAACTGCACACCAGAGAGCATCGCCATGCTTTAGGAGTTAACCACTAAAGCACTCGCTCAGACCTCAGCACATAGACTCTGAACTCTTCATCTGGCTCATGGATTTGAGAAAAACTGGTACAAGCAATACAGCGTTTACAGTGAGTTTGCAGACTTGCTAAATATAATCATAACAGTAACAGGTAAGGTATTTATCGTTCAAGTGTAAGATAACTCAAAGAGAGTCTCAGTAACCAGCAGAGATGATTCTTTCCCCATGAATCATGGGAACTTTGAGAGAAAGGATTTAAAACTGCAATAATTCATCTCCAAAGGCACATTCACACTGACCATGACAAAAAGTGTTTAGGGTTAACCTAATTTCCCATTGGTTGAGGAAATTAGGACATCTTGTAGAGTGCTGCTTGGAAGATGCATTTTTATAGCTGAAACCCATAAACTATTTAGCATTTTAACTCATCCAATTTTTTAATCCTAAGGTTATTTATGTGTTATTATAATTTTTTGTACTTAATTTGTTTCGCTAATGTCATATGTATTAAAAAAAAACAATTCAAGAAATAGAAAGGTAATAGTGAGGGGTTTACTTTTAATCACGATGTTCACTTATTTATTTTTATTTATTATGCTTTGAAAATGAAAGTAGTACAAAACATCTCTTCTTTGTTGCTTAACAAAAAATTATTTATTAATTAATTAATCAAAACTAAATTAATCACTTGAGTCATTATTCCCTTTTACACATACAGACATTTCGCGAAAATTACCAGCTATTTCTGGAAAGGGATCATGTGTGAATGGGCCCTTTTTTAAAAATACTGGTAAATTTGTTCTGGCAATTTTTTGGAAAGAGAAGCTGTAACATTACAGGTAATTTTGCTGAAATGCTGCACTGTGTGAATGCAGGGAAAATTGCCAGAAAGAAATTACCAATAAGAACATTCAGACACATTCACATCCATGCTGTGTACGAAAATAAAAATCTTTGAATATTTTCCCAGACACATTTAGCTGCTAGATGTTAGTCAGATAACGTTCTATGTTCCTTCTTCAGTTGCTTTACGCGTGTGTACGCGAAGCAGCCAGTAAGTGACAGCACAAACGCATATTATATACCAAAAGCCCGACCCCTTCTATGTTTACAAATACAAGCGCAGCCGTTTAAAGGTTATTTCTGGTTAATTATGTCAGATTTAACTCGCATTTTGGAATGGATGTATGAATGGTCTTTTCCGGAAAAATTCTGGAACGTTCTTGCCTGTGTGAACAGTGTTTTTTCTTCATTTACCGGTAAAGTCATTTTGATAAATTTCTATCACTGTGAAAGGGGCTAATGATTTAGTGATCAATACTTGATAGCAAAGAGCTTAGAATGACCAAGAGGCGACACTCTAGTGTAATTTGGGAAATAGCCACTTGAAGGTGCGGCGGCCATTTTGGAATGAAAACTTCAAAAGAACAGAAGCATATTATAAGTCTGTTAAATAAACTATTAAAAGTGCTGATGATTGTGGTAGTAAGTGTTGTATTGTCGTCTTTCAGGTTGTATCTCAGCTTTAATGAGCTTTTTAAATAAATAAAAAAACAAACAAAGCAGCTGCTTGCCATCACAACAGTAATGCGATTCAATGGACAGCCGATCACTTTCACTCCAAAATGGCGGAGTCCGGGGCTGTTGCTGGGCGCTGCTGTGTCAATGGAACGTTCTATTGAGTGTCGTCTCTTGGTCATTCTAAGCTCTTTGTTGATAGTTACTAGTGTTTTAATTGAATCAGCATTTTTAAATTTCAAGGATTTGCTGCCACCTACTGGCTGTTTTATTGTCAGTTTTTTATCCATTATGGACGGCCAAAACACACTCAAAATAGTTTTTGTTTAACAAAGACAAGATGGTATTTATGTATTTATCTTTGTAAAATAAATTAGCACATCTTTTGTTTTTTATAACTTTTTTTACAATTCCATTAACTTGTTTTTCTTTAAAAAGGGCAGTTGTTAGCTGTTGGTAAACAGCAAGACAGGTTTTTAGGTATATCAAGGGTCACCATGACAAACAGAAAAAGCATGTTACTTTATGTTAGTGCAAGCTATTTCAAAGTCTCTTTAAGACAAGTCATTTCACTTGGCGGCTATCTTTAAAACGCCTCTCAGGCAGCATGTTCAGGCATTCTGTTTGAATGGGAAAACATCAATTTCTCCAAAACTGCTCTCCAAGATTATGATTGAATTTCATATTTGGAATTATCAGTAAAAGTAAACATCAACTGTCTTTTTAATTTAATTTCTAAACGTCCGATTCACATAAAATCTGCACAAACTCACGTCTGGTCCCAGCCCCTCCCCCAGAGTATCGTCAGTCTATAGCGATCAATGATTGGCTCCTGTACTAGAAGGCGGGCTTTATTCACCATATTGACCATTACACTTTTCCTCATTCAAAATGCTATTAGTGACATGCCTTGTTTATTCTAAAGTCTTTGGCTAGTCTTGGTCTTTCAGGGAATACATTTTTTTTTAAATATAGAATGAAGAAGTTGTTGGAAACTAGTGGGATGATTTTGATATTATGTGACTGGGGTGTAGTATATTAATAGTCTACATTTATCTTTTTTCAGTTCTATTTATTCTTAATAAAAGTGTCAATTTTAAATATTATCATGTTGATCAAAATGTGTTGTTCACAGAGTTGGGTTTTCACTGAGGGAACTAGTGTGATGCTAACTTCTGGGTGGCCTACAAAAATAAGGAATCGTTGCAGCACTCTAATGGTTGTCAGCAAAGTGTATGTCTGCAGAAATATGATGTGATTTGAAGCAATGGCCATTATTCACCAACTCTCATTTGGTCTCCTGTCTTTGTCAGTGTGAATCTGTTACAGAGACGTCAGCAATACTGACAAATTCGTCTTAAGTAGATAATTGGCTAAACCTGTCCAACCCCCCCGTAACCCTGTTTAATCTGCATAAACTGTGATTACACGACAGGTCAAGCCATCACCGTAGCAATGGAGAATTTTGAGTTAGTCGCACCAGCCATTGATGCCAAATGTTGGGTTGCAATGAGGTTGTATAAATTGTCAGTCTATAACTGAGCAGTCAAAAAAAAAAAAGCGATCCTTTTTAATCATACCTGATATGCAGGTAGTTCATGTTCATTCATTCCTGGTGTTCGCAGCTTAGTTTGATCTGTGGCACTGTAATAGCATGACCTTTGGTGCTGTGGACCTTCTGTCCTATAGCTCTAGATACAATGTGGTTAAGACTTTTTTCATTCCAACTGTTATAAGTAACATTTAAGTGCAACATTTTGGTGCTTCAGCCAAAAAATTTGTTAACACTTGATCAAAAACTGCCTGTGTCGATCAGTTGCATCCCAGGTATGCTGCGAACAAATTTGTAATATTTCAGGACCACAAGAAACAAGATGTTAGTGTTTTTTGTTTTAGTCTGTCTTTTGCATTTTAAAATTTCAAAATCGTCATTTTGCTTATATATTCACCATTAACATTTTTAACAACAGATTTAGCATTTTCTCAAACTAGTCAAGTTTTGTGAGCGAATGCTAAGATTCATTTAGAGAATGTGAAAGTTTTGTGAAATAATGCTGCGTTTAAAAGTGCTGTATGCAAGTTTTAGACTCTTTTAAAGCATACAAATACCATAATATGTTTGTAGATATTTAGGAAACATGCCAAGTGAACACCCTTGTTTATCTGAAAAACAATGCAGCCAGATATTCTGCTTTGAAAATGTGCTTTCTGTGCTGGAACGCTGTCTTTGTTTTGGGTCTTTTAACCCACCCAATGCCAGTTTAACCAATTAAATTTCAGTACTCGGGTTGCCTTGGTGGAAAACTGTGCATTTATTTATTCAGAAAGGCTTTGAAAGAATATGTCCATGACTGAAATGTGACTTTCAGTGGACAGTAGCAGACTCCGAAATGAGACCGATTCAGTTCCACATGAGGTTATTATTAGCAAATAAAATAAATATTAGGAAAGTAAACATTAGGTGAGCAGGCTACATTGCAACTGCATGTCCTAACAACAGGCTTCGTGATGAGATACGCAGTGATAAGCAGTTTGGCTGTTTGCACCAGACTAAACATGACAGAAATTTAAATACAGCCATTCAAAACAGAATATGCACTCAGTCACAAAATGGTAAGGTTTACAATCAATTTAATACATATTAACCCTCTTTAATATTATTAATGTACATGCGGAATCACTGATATGTGTTTAGTTCTAAAGTTCAATTTGAAACTCGTAGCTGATCTGACGTAAACTATCTGCTGCTGCTTTCAGTAGTATGGCAATAAATGTCATGTAAAATGGCATTCAAACTCACGTTATTAAGATTTAACACTAAATAATGCACATGAGGTTTACCTGAGTTGATCATTCTCATAGTTTTCTGTTGTTCACCTGAAGCCATTTCTAATATATCATTTATATCGATTCGAGGTGTTGTTTAGTACAAAAACTTTCTTTAATATGGAAAATATTCGTTCTATCATGTGTTGTTGCTTTTATTTAGAACACAGTTTAATTCATTCGTTCCTGTCCTCAATCTAGCAAACTGCGCTAGCGTTTGTTTTGATCCAAGAGTGCAATACCTAGTTCAACCACTGGGTGTCAAACTTACATACTGCACCTTTAAGGAAAGCGGTACTTTTTTTTTTTTTTTTTTTTTTTTTTTAGGGTTTTGGGCTCACCTACACTGTAAAAAAAAAAAAAAAAAAAAAGAAAAAAAACCATTCTGTTTATTTACGGTTGTGAATTGTGTTTTGGGATTTGTAGAATTTTTATGTTAAAAATTTACCTACAGTTTGACAAAGTGACTTTTATTGACATTTTTGCAGGCTAGTTATAATATACTTTAGTAATGACATTGTATAAGAAACAATATATAGAGAAATAAGTCTGTAAAATAACAAGAAAATCTACTGGCAGTTTATTACAAGGTTTTTGTACCGTAATACACAACACCAGCCCAGACAATATATCACTGTAAACTACTAAAAATGTTTATAAAAGTAACTTTTTAAACTTTTCAAGTTTACAAGTTGTTGGAAGAAAGATCAAAGTCCCATAATGCAATTCAAAAGCATGAATAAAGAGAGAGGGGAAAAGCAAGAATCACAAAAGAGGAAAAACTGCTAATTCACAGATACTTTTTACAGTGTAGAATCCAAGAAAAGTTAAACCAAAGGTGCTGAATTCCATTGTGAATGTAAAAAGCTATTAATTATTTACATTTAAAAAAGGAGTGAACCCACTGACTTGAGCAATTAAAAAAAAAACTGAACTTAAAACTTGCAACTGTTCAGTTGACAATGTTTTATATAATTTTGCACATCATTCATTTGCTAAAGCAATTTAAATGTGTTCACTTTTTTAAAGTAAAATCAACTAATCACTTTTTACTGAGTGATTATTTAGATTCAATATTTTGGCATTTTCTTGGAGTTTAGCATTCATCTAAAAAAATGGCAGACATGGAAAAACAAACAAAAAACAAGGATCTTTACATTCTCTCACAAAGCAATCTCTTGAAAAGGT